GTGGTTGGCTTTATTCCTTTGATAACTATGTAAGTTTAAAAAGCTAAAGCTCTAAACTTTCCTAGGCACAATGAACAATGCATATATGTAAATTCAAAAGATATATGCAGTATATTGTGTATATGTATTCACATGTAATACATGGTTTATGTGCAGTCAAATTGTAACAATTCTACCTAATAAAACTGAAAAATGTGGAAAAAATGGAAGCATCCCTTTTAGAGGGTGTTCTCATTTTTCCTAGAGATCTTCCCATTCCCTCACTCTGCCCCTACTTCTCCTTCCCACTCCCCAGTCCCCAGGCCAGTGGCCTCTCCAGCTTCCTTGCTGGGATGCAGGCTGGGGAGGGGTGGTACAGTCTCTGCTCCATGGAAGCCCTAGATCCCTCCTTCTCTGCATGGGCACCGTTCCGTCGAGGTCAGCTGTGTGGCACACTCACTGTATCAGCAATTCCCAAGACTTTCTGGGGGAAGAAGAATCTCGGCTGCCATCTGGTTTAGGAGGCTTACTTGGGAATTTTAAACACAATGGGGACTGATTAAGCCTGGGCTGCAGGCTCAGACAGTGATGGCTGAACAGGGCACAGGAAAGGGGAGAATCTGTAGCCCAGCTTAACTTCATTTTGTTCTCTAGGTGTGTTCTGGAAATCTTGGGTGTCAATCACGTTTGGGGGAGCTGGATTGCCTGGGAACACATTAAGAAGTTGCCAACAAAGGAATTGTTGATGGAGCTTATACAGTGAAGAATGCCTTGTAAAGTGACTAATAGCTTCTTCCTTTAGGTGTTTCGTGAGCCTGATTAGGGGGAGAGGAGTGAAGATTGGTGAAACTTTGTCTCTCTGGCAGATGGTACTGGTGACTCAGATGGAGCTCAGCAGAACCCTGATAGATTTCTGGCTGCAGCTGCTCTGTGCTTCTGGACAGGGCGTGAGGGAGAGCTACCTCCTAGACCCCTCTCAGGGTCATCCCTGGGTCTCTCTGGGAAATGGGAATGTGAGCACTAACCCAGGGCGCTTCACGTGGGGACTGATGACAGTAAATAAGCCCTGAGCCCTGGGAAGGAGGGTCAGGGTTGACCCACAGAGTATGTGCGGCCCGGAAGCCCCCTCCTGGCCCCCCTCCCCGGACCCTTTACCGGAGGCCGCCTCCACTGCAGGCGGCGAGGCAGCTTCCCCAGCAGGGCCCCGCTGCCGATGGAGCGCAGGGTGGCCGGGAAGCTCTTGTCCTCAAAGAGGCAGCCGTCCCTCAGGCATCTTTCCAGCAGGGACTCGTAGTCCTGTTGGGGGAGCTGAGAAGCGCACCCCGCGAAGTCCTTCCGCCCCAGCTTCCAGCCGCCGCCGCAGAGAGAAGGCAACAGAGACATGGCCAGGGACCTGGCGAATCCAAGGGCCTGGGATGGCTCAGTTGTGCCTGAAATGAAGAGCGGAGGATGCTGTTTCCTCTCTTCCTGTTGAGGCTTTGCCAGGCCCACAGGGAGGAGGAGAAAGGAGCTGTCAGAAAGAGACTGAAGCATGTGGTGTATTCTTATCCAGGAAAGTGGTGGTCCTAGAGTTTCGCTTAAGTGCTGGGGTTCCTGGCCAGGGTTGTGGTCCCAGCTGCCACAGAAGGTCCTGTGCGAAAAAGGGGTCTCCCCAGCGTTAGGGCTGAGTCCTGGCCCTTGACTGTGCCAATGTCCCACGGCCAGTCCCGCTTAATAGGGATACAGGGAGGAGAGGAGCAGGAGTGGAAGCTCAGTTCGCTTGCCAGACGTGGAGGGGGCGGGGCTGCCCCTTCAGTGCTCCTTCCGGGGCCTCTGAGCTCACACATCCTCTTCCTCCCGCTCCAGCGTCCTCCAGCTTTCCTGCAAAACCGCATCTTTTGCTTTCCTCCTTCTACATTGTCTTCAAAACTACTTCCTTGATGACATTCTTTGGCAATGTGAAACAAACAAACGTGTTGTGGCAAATGCTGAGAATTACCTGTACCTCCCCATCCACCCTTTTTTCTTACTAATAGAATCCCAGATGTGATGGTCCAGCTACAAAACTTGATTTCCCTGGGCTTCTTGCAGGATAAGGCAGCCACACAACATAGTGCTGACCAATGAGATGAAGGTGGATGTCTCTTAGGTGGGGCTTTTGGAAAAGCTATGACTTTCCTAACAAAAAAACAAAAACAAAAACAAAACAAAACAACAATAACAAAACAGCTTCAGTTGGTACTAATTTTGACGTCCCTCCTTTCCCCGTTCTGGAAAGCAGATGTGATGCTTAGAGATGGAGGAGCTGTCTTGGGACCATTAGGGAAAAGCTACATGCTGGAAGGAGTCTGGATCTTAATGACTTCTTTGAACAAATGAACCAGCCTTGGATGGTTTGCCTCTAGACCTCTTATTACATGAGAAAGATAAACCATTTGCTTACTTAAGCCAGTGGTAGCCAGACTCTGTCGTGTTCTTTGTCAGTCACTGGATGTATGCCAGTTTCATGCAGTCATAGCACTGTGAACTGATATTCAATGGTATGTAAAATTTTACACACGTTTTGGGGGGTCAATGGGTCCCTCTTTTGAAGCTTACCCATGAGCTTCATATTAAGAGCTCTGCAAGCCATGGGCCCTGCCAACCTAAATACTCCAGCATATCCTTAGATCTGCATCTACTTTTGTGCAGTTGTGATTGGTTAAGTCTGATTTTTATGACCTCTATTATTTGCATCCTTATCCACCTAGAATTAGAAAATGTCGGAGCTAGACTAAGCCTTGGAAAACATGTAGTCTGGTATTTCCCAAAATTATTTTAGCAGTGGGCTTCTTTCTTTGAATGAAATCCTACAGAAGCTCAAGGGTGGAGGCTTAGGTTTGCAGGCTGGACCCAGTGCGTTTTTGCAAAGTTTCTCGTTCTATGGTTTGGAAACCACCAATCTTTTCCAGCTCCCTTCATTTTTCAAGGGGTAAAGCTGAAATCCATTCATCCATTCATTCACCAAAAATTTAACTGAGAATTTATCATCTTCCAGACTTGAGCTTGGCACCATTTTCCAGAGACAGTCCCTGCCCTCATGGCTCTTACAGTCATATGTGTGTGTGTGTGTGTGTGTGTGTGTTCGGGGGGGTAGTCAAATGATCTCAGTGCCACACGAGGAAACTACATTAGAGCCAGATCCAGGACCCAGGGCCCTGACTTCCATTACTGTGTTCAGACCTCAGTGCCAAGAACTCACATTTGTGTGAGGTTTGGCCCTTGGGACAGAATGTATATGCACTAAAAACCACCTACCTACAGGTCTATACTAAGTATGGGGATTCCCTCACAGCTGGAGAAGTGACCTGAGGGTCCTCTTCATTTGTCAAGATCTTGCCATCCTCCAATGTTCAACTTGATCCCTCCTCCAGGAAGCCTTCCTTGAGTGCCTGGCCTTCACTGAGCTTCCCTCATCCTGACAACCTACTGACCCACTGCCGACCCCATAGGACACCCTACTGCCCTCTAATTGATGCTTCTCAAATGATCACTAGTGAAGGACCTATATTCTTTGATTTCCAATTTATCATAGAAATTTAATGGAAATGAATTAACAGAAAAATAAAAAATGTTTAAGATATACAAAATACAAGCCCTTCTCTAAAAATTTCAGATTCAACAGAAATAAAATTGCTATGAAAGTTTCTAAACACTTAGTTTTCTACTTAGCTCATCGTGCACTGCTCATGACCAGTTCATGGAATGGCCTCTTGTCCTCGGACCCCACAGTGGGCTCTGCTCTGAGTGAGTCATGCACTGAAACTTCCCCTGCCTAACACCGACCTGTTGTTCCCCAGGGGATTAACACTGGTAGAACGCTGTTAGTCTCACACCCTTACCGCTCTCTGAGGTCAGGACACTCCGTTTTCAGGCTGTTCTTTTTTATCACAGGTGCTTACACACTTCCTGGGGGCAGACCCAAGACTCTCCCAACCTAGTTATACTGATACAAAAGCTGTTATTCTTGGTCTTGTGTCTTCCCCTGAGTTTTTCTTCCTGATACGGACTATCAGGCAAAGCTTTTCCAGTCCACTTCCTTACCAACAAGTTCATTCCACCACATTTACATTTGTAAACATGAGGCCACATAAAGACAAGGTCTTACTTTTTTTGTTCTTCAAGCCTGAACAGCAATCCTTCACTGCTCCTGATGTGACAGATGGTAGCAGCGGGTCCCTTGGCTTCAGAATGTGACCCAGGCTCATGCCCTCCTTATGGGGCTCTGGGTCACACTCAGATTCCTCTTCGAGCTTGAAAACATTGCATCTTATGACAACCCTTGGCGCCTTGTGGGGCATACCCAGCACGAGATCCTCTCACCCTCCAAATTTCAGAATGAGGTCACATGCACATATATCTCATCTTTAAAGAAGTATTCCTAACTCATCTTAAGAAGAGTCTAGATCCAGACGTGGCCAGTTGGAAGTTCTTGCATGTCTTCTGTGTGTTACAAGCTGTGGAAGAAACTGTCTCATTCCCAGATTGTCACAGTTCTCTGCAAAGGGCCAGATGGATCCTGGTCATATTTGGAAATTGCATTTTAACTTATAAGTGAGCAGTGTTGAAACAGGCCCATAAAGCAAGATGATGCAGATAAATAGGAAAAAGCCAACCGGGGCACAGATAGTAGAGCGTGCAGCCCAAAGACATGCTGCCTGTGTCTGGGAGTTTCCTTGGCTCCCCACAGGGAGTTAGAATCCCCTGTCATGTTCTCCGGGTCAGGATTCATTTGTACTCAGCCAATCAATATTCAGAGCCTCAATCTTCACTTTTCCATAGTAGCTGTGCTTGCCTTCTCCAGAGATGCTGGCAGAAGGGAGAGCTTTACGGTGGTGGAGGTATCCCTGGTGCTCATGACCCCAAGGGGGCCTTTGAATGTTAACTGGCTGGTGAATGTTAAGAAGCATCACTGGGTGAGACACTGGGTCTGTTTCATGCCTTAAGTCCCTGCCTTGATACCGAGTTCATTCATAGGTTTACTGAGAACCTACTGTGTGCTAGACACCGTGCCCATGCTGGACACATACACTTGGCTCTTGATCCCCCAGTAAGAATAGAGTCAGGACTCTGAAAAGGAAACAAAGGAAAAAGGAACCACGTCCCCACTCACAGGTACTGTACACCTGTAGAATCTTCCCGCGGGATGACTGATTTCCAGAGAACTCTGGCACCTTGCCACAACCCCCTAAGTTGTCTGAGGTAAAATTGGAATAGAAACCTCCATTCTTGCACAGTGGCTCTGTCTACGTGATAAAAGGCATCGGATTGAAAAAGTGATCAATTCCATGCTCTTGACAGTTGGGACAAAAGAACAAGACTAAGTATCAGCCCTGCCTGATTTATCTTGGGCAGCAAGGTACTTCTTTTGTGTAACAGGCATTGTTCCCTGCTAATGGAGCGCCACGTTTGGAATTAGAAAACCCAGGAGGAGGCCAGGTTTGCCACCTCTTACTTGTGTGGCTGTGCACAGACCCCTGACCATCTCTGAGCTGGCCACCTAAGCTGTAAAATGGAGATGACAGGTACTGTGCCTACTCTCAGGACTCAAGGTGACAACAATGTGAAGTGGCCTGAAAAAACTCTAAAGCAGGGGTTGGCAAACTATGGCCCCTGGGCCAAATCTGACCCACCTTTGGTTTTTGTAAAAGAAGTTTTATTGAAACACAGCCACACTTCCCTGTTTATGTACTCTCCATAGCTGCTTTTGCAACATACAACAGCAGAGCTGAGTAGGTGGAGCAACGATCACATGGCCCACAAGTAAAAATATTTACAGCCTGGCCCTTTACAGAGAAGTCCGCCCTAAAGCACTACCTAACCCAGGTAGAGTGTTGCTGCTTGACGTCAGGCACAAGGGGAAACTAAAAGGAGAAATTCACAGAATCAAACGTGGTTAATTGATCCATCACCAAGAATTTATCTTAATGCAATGGAATTGTATCTCCAATTGATTCATTGAGTTTTTTTTTTTACAGACTCTTAACATTTATAGTCACATTCGTGTCTCAAAAAGATTTAAAGATGTGTCCTGCCATTTCTCTCTGCTAAAGTCTAGTTTCTAACACATTTTTTACAGGGGTGGACATGAGGCATTCTTGAGCAGTTTTCAGATGGGTTTGTGGGTACTGACCATGAATAGGAGAACCCACAGCTCTGTGTACAGATCATGACCTACCCATAAAAGGGGGAATGATTTCACAAAATTAATGGTTGGAAAGGATCTTGAAAGTTTACTATTTAGATATCTGCCTGCATTTAGATTTCATTTTTAGTAGAAGACCCCAAGACATCGCCTTTCAGGAAACAGTGAAGCAAGTGGTCCAACTATGAGCAACTGAAGGCTAGGATAGTATTTTTCCCTCCTGGATTCACAGAGCCCAGCATGGTATTATAAATAGAGAGATGGCTGATAAGTGTTTGCTGACTGAATGGATGGATGTTTCTTCATTTGTAAAATGTAGAGAATGATAACGCCTGCCCTCTCCACCCCTCCTGATGTGAAGCTGAAAGCAGAAGAGGATGTGAAAACTTTCTGGGAGTTGCCAACCACTTGCTGCTCTTCTGTTGTTCTCTTCACATCCCTGGAACTGACTTAGGCTGGCATTTGCTTTCAGGGGCCTCCTTAACAGCATCCCCCCATCCAGGCTTGCTTTAGGGCTCCACTCTGGTGGGGGTGTGGGATCTAGGGCAAGGTGCCCTGGGGAACAAAGTAAAATCAAGATCAGCCTTCAAGAAGAACAGGAGTTTCCTTAGGGACCACGCACCTGGAGAGCGGACTGGGGAAGTCAGGGACAGAAGAGGCAGGAAGCTCCCTGCCTTAACTGGTGATGCAAGGGGGTCTCTTGGGTTGATTGCATGCCTATTTGGAGATGTAAGAACTTGGCTGGTGGCGCTCCCTACCCACTTCCAACTGCCCCATCTTCCATATGTCTCCAGGAGACACTACCCAGCCACAGATCTTTGTAGAAGTGCAGACATCTCCAGACAACTCCAGACACCTCCAGACACCCCCAGAATATGAAGGTGCACCTGGAGTTGCCATGTAGCAAAGTCAACTTTCCATGGGCTAAGGAACATTCACTTGGCTCATGTGAAAGCCAGACCCTGATGTTGCTCTTTGCAGATGAACCACACATCAAGCTAGGAGGAACTTGGTGGCCACCCCCTTTCGGCACCCCTGTGTAGAGGTAGGGCCTCTGAACAGTTCCAGGGGACATCTTTTGTGCACATCCTCCTTTTTACCTTCTTACAGGCTCCTAGGCTGGAATCTCACCTGCTTCTGGTTTTAACAGTTCCCACCCAGGAGGCGGCAGCATCCTAGTCTTAGAGTCACTCGCTGATTTCTCCACCACCTTCCTTACTTTCAAAGGACCCACATTTGAATTTTTTTTTTTTTGCTCCTTTCTGGGCATTTCAAAACACGTTTGAATAGAAAGAAATTTTAAAAACAGATATAAATGAGTGTCTCATATTTTCTCAGGAGTATTTGCATCCTAAAAGGGTCACAGGCTTTGAACTGTAGCATTTGATTAAATAGAGGGAGTATTTCTCCCTCTGATCCACACAGAGCATGACCTCAAATCCAAAGTGGTCAGGCTCTCAGGGCTTGGGCCCATTTCTGGGTAAATAACCCAGAGCCCACACCCTCTTCTCTACCCCAGCATACCTTCCGCCTGCGCATAAACACAAGACGTGGCTTGCCCTCTCTGGTTCACACTGCATCCATCCTTCAAAGTTCAGCCCTTGCTTGCCGTCCTCCCAAGAGCCTTCTCTGGCCTTCGAGCACATTTCCTTCTCTCCTTACAGCTGAGTTCCCTCAGTGAGGCACGGATTTTTTTCACCCCAGGAAAGGTATTCTAAGGACCTCTGAGTTTGGGTGACAGGGGGAGACTGTTGTGAAAGGAGTGGCCATGAAAGAACAATCTTGAATCTGTGATGACCTAGCACTGGAAGTGGGGAGGAGGATTCTGTGTAACAGCACCTCTCAGCCCCTGAAAGCTCGGTCCGGACCTGAGAACCCATGGCTTCACATCTCAGGCTGTAATATCCACTACTCCAGAAAATCGAGCTATGTGGTTAGAAACCCAGGCAACCCTTTGGAAAAAGGAAGTCAATCAAAAACATCTTTTAGGAAAACCATTTGGCAGTCAATACTAAGCATAGATACGTCCTCTGATACAGGAATTCCTGGGTATAACCCAACAGAAATGCTTACACTCGTGCCCCCCAAACATGTACAAGGATACTCACAACAGTGTTATTCCAAATAGCTCTGCTCTGAGAACAACCACAAGCCCATGAACCTGGGTAAATAATATTGGGGACCATTCATACAACAGAATGCTATAGAGCGTGGATAATGAACAAACAAGAACTACACGTTACCATACAGATGAAAGTCACAGACTTAGTACCGAGTGCAAAATCCAGACACAGAAATTCTATGATTCTATTCACATAACTTTCAAAAAAAAAAAGGGCAAAATTCATCTGTGTGTGAGAAGTCAGTTTCCTGGTTACTCTTGGGGTGGAGAGATTTATCCTCAAACCAATTATGCCTCTAATAGTTAAATCGACTCTGTTCCTTCCTCCTGATTGTTGTGATGGTCAGGATTTACAAGGCAGATTGAAAAGGGAAAAATTCAGTTCATTTAGGTAAGTCTTCATTAGACACCTCCCCACGGGCCCTCAACGGCAGGGGTGCAGGAGGAATCAGAATTTCTGCCCTCAAAGAAGTCACAGTCCAAAGACAGAGCTCCCTTCTCTTCCCTGGGAGGCTCACTCTGTGTGATGGTCAGTACCCAACCCACCCAAGAGTCCTCACTCTAGGAAGTCAGAGAGAGGCTCCCACCCTGTCAGGTCTGGAAGCTCTCCCCAGATGGAGAAACTTAGGCCCACGTCACTGGTTCAAGGTTAGGATCACAGCCCTAGCCCCGACCTCCTGTAGCCTGGACCAGGCATGTCCAGAACAAAAATGCTTAAGTCAAAGCCAGGCTTCATCCCACCTGCACAAACAGTATCTCCCTCTGCCTTCACAGGACAGAGTTACACACTCAGCTGACAGCTGACGACCTTCCTCCACAGTCATCCAGACTCTCAGTGAGTGACTTTTCCCGATGCCCAGAGGCCAGCAAACTGCTCCAGTTGAGGTGATTTCTAGATTTCTCACCTAAGCAAGGGCCACCCCTTAGCACCACTCTGACAAGTATCACACGCGGGACCATTTCGCTCTCACAGAATGTGAGTATTGTCATCGGGGTCTTCTGAACGTCTGATTTCAGAGGATGTCAAACCAGCCTATTGGCACCCAGAGAGCAGGACCCCACAAGGCCCCAGGCCCCTCCAGCCCCCTTCCAGAATTGAGGAGGCTCAGAAGACCCCTGGAAGGGCCTGAGCCCTGGGAAGTGACAGCACCTAGCAGCATGAAAAACTCTACCAAATAAATATTGATGGGAATCAGAGCTGGAGGGACCTCAGGGATCACCCAGGTCCAAAGATTCCCTTATTTTAGTGAGGAGACTGAGACCAAAGGGCTGAAGTCTACAGTTCGAAGTTACACTGATAAGCAATTGCACAGCTGAAAACAAAATTCGGGTCTCCAGACTCCAGGGTTCTTTCCATATACACTCTGACCTGCAAAGCTCATAGCCGGAGAAGCAACTCCCTTTCTCTCACCTTCTGAACCCAGATGCTGCAGAGGCCCCTTGGGGCTCTGCGTTAACCTGGACCCACCCTTGGATCTAAAGAAATTTACCTGTACAGGAGATCTTGCTTCTTTGAGCAACAGGACAGGCTGTAATCCCAATGCAGATAGAATCCGGCTGCCCGAGACCACATCTTATATGTGGTCCTTTCTATACTCAGGTGTTGTGCTGAGTCTGAGTTCCCGCCTCCCAGAGCCCTGGCTCCTCCCCGCAGTGTTTTCTGAAAGGGAGGGGAGCGCCCGGGGCTTTGTGATGGTGTTGTACTAATCCGATTCCTTCCTTAGAACATCACACAAACAAAACTTGTTCCAGTAATGCTTTGAACAGAGAGTTAGTCATCCTCTCACTTCCAATCTAGGGAGGGTATTTGGAGACATGACTTAGAGCATTACTCTGTTGCAGGAAATAGTGTTTATTACTTTCTTTCGTAGTCTTCAGAGTTTGATGCAGCTCCCAGGGATGTTTCCTGCTGAGGAGGAATTTTGTGATTCCTCTGTGCTATTGAGACATCTTTCTCTCTCCCTTCCCAAATCTACACCTCAAATCCCACTTTTCTGCCAGTTTTGTCTCCATGGCTTTGACCACTCAAAGCTAGAAATGTTCACCTCTATTGACTATTCCTTACATTCCCCACTGGCGATTCCACCCTCAGAACACTTCCTGGCACTCATGTGGTTGCTCTTCTGTGAAGACTTCTCCTGCAGTCCTACCACCACTCTCACAGATTTTCATCATAGGGATTAAGCCAGTTCTAGCTTGTCTGACTCCAGGCTTGCACACATTGGATCCCTGGGACGTCGAGTGGTGGCTGGCACCCAGAAGGTGCTCAGTACATGCCAGTGGAATTAAAGAGTCCCTTACCTCTAGAACTTCTCCCTCCTGACCCTTTCTACCTGCTTCTCTGCGGTGGCCTTTTGCCCTGACTCTAATCTCTCACACCTCAATCTTTTTGTACAACTATCACCTCATTCATTTTATTAATACTGATAAAGAAATGAATAGTTGTTATGGATTGAATGTTTGTGTCTTCCCCAAAATTCTTATTTTGAAGCCCTAGCTCTACAGTGTATCTGTATTTGGAGTAAGGAAAGAAATGAATTTGTAATGATGGGGCCCTGATCTGACAGGATTAGTGTCCTTATAAGAAGAGACATCAGAGGGCTCTCTCTCCCTCTGTCTCTGACTCCCTGTCTCTCTCTTGTTGTGCACTAATGGAAAGCCATAGGAGGATCCACTGAGAAGGCAGCCATCTGCAAGCCAGGCAGAGAACTCTCATCAGAAACTGATCCAGCCAGAACTTGATCTGGCACCTCTAGCCTCCACAAGCATGGGAAAATGAATTTCTGTTGTTTAAACCCACTAGTCTCTAGTATATTGTTATGGCAGGCTGAGCAGACTAAGACAATGACCAGCATTTATTGAGCCCTTCCGACACGCCAGGTGCAATGCTAAGCACACTGCAGGCAGAGCCTCTGAATCTTTACAACTTTGTGAGGAAGTACTCTTATCATCCTCCCCTTTACAAAGAGGAAACTGAGGCCCAAAACAGTAACTTAACCAAGATAACTACAGCTAATAAACAGCAGAGATGTGACTAAGTCCCAGGGATGTCATATTCCACTAACATTTCATCACGTTGACAAACCAGAATAACCATCTCTGTTACTGTTGAGTCAAATCCAAAGTTTTTCTCCTGAGTTCAAAGCTCTTTGAACACTTGGCCCCTTTGATAAGGGAAACTTCAATTTCCTTTTCTGAAAAAGTCAGTTCATCTCCAGCTTAAGGCTCCCATCCAGTCACATATGTGAAAATGCTTTTTAAAGACTGCACCGCTCCATCTGCATCTGTGCAGAGGACTGCTGTTACCGCTGATCCCCGGCGTGCCTCCTGGACAGGACTTTTTCATTCTCATCTCCTCATCTTGGCCCTTCATTATCTGCTCTCTTACGTTTGCCATTACTTCAGGAACTTCTGGCTGCAGGCTGCTTCTCCTCCTTTGGTACCCTCTCCACCACTTGCACAGGGCTGGGAGTCACTCTTTGTCAGAGTCGTTTTTATTATGGTCGTCATTGGGCTTATCATCAATTGTGCAGAGAATGAACAGAGCCTTCCAGATAGAGAGGGTGAGGCCTACGGGTCATGTCCTCCTTTGACTGTTCTTGAGAATTATTGTCCTGGGTGAAGGAAACAGATGTCCAGGGAGGCTCACTGGACTCTCACATCAGCCCTGAGATTGTCGGCCTTTCAGAGGCCCTGTGTCTCCTTCCCAGGCTTCTGTTTCTCACTCAGCACACACCTGAAGAAGGTAGCGAAGCCAAGTCCGTCTGGGGATGAGTTTGCCTATCTTTGCACAGCGAGGGCAGTCCCTGACCCGGAAGTGGGCTAGGGACCAAAAGTGGGTTGACAAATTTGTGATTTATGACTAGGAATTCATTTTCCTATGGAAACAAGCCTTGAGGGGTGAGGGACTTGCTAGGACGGCTTTGGTGGCTTACATAAGCTCCAGGTAGCAGGACCTGAGCACTTGCTGGATGTTGAGGTCCTAGAAGCAAAGCTGGGGGAGAAAGGAAGGGCTTCCTCACCAGTGCTGTGCCGCAGAGCCCTGGAGAAGGGATAAGAGTCAAGAAATGTGGATTCAGGCCTTGGTTCTACCGCTGACTATGTGAAGCTGAGTAAGTCACTGCCTCCTCTGAGACTCAATCACTTACATAAAACAGGAAAGCAGTGTTCCATCAGCTCTCTGCTTTCTGTTTTGACATTCTATGGCTCTGCTTGGGAACTCCTTGAGCAGTCAAAGGTGGGCAAGTTCGTCTCTTCTTACTGCACTCTCAGGACGAGCACTCCACCTCCAGGGATGAGATTCCCCCGACTTCTGGGCATGAGTACCCCCACTTCCTGGTCCTCTTCTTTCAAAGAATCCAAGCACTCTACACAAGCCTGACCTTCCACAAACTTAAGGTACTCTCTAAAGTATCTCCTTCCTTTTCTTCCAAACAAACTTCTCATTCTTTTAGGGTCCTGGAAAGCAGTCTGGTTGAAATTGTTCTCACTAACGTGTGAATGGCTCACAAGTCCTTATTCTCACCATAGGTATTGCATTTTTTTTTTAAGAGAAAACTCATTACCCAAATGAATCCTTGATTGTCAGAATCTCAGGCAATGAAATCAGAAGTGAAAAAGTCCAGGAGAGGAGTAAGTTAAGGTACCTAGGATAGTAAATAGTAACTGCTCAAAAGTGTTTATTCTTGCTCACATGGAACATCTGTGTTATTTAATTAAGTTCACATCAAAAAAACAAGTAAAACTGCTACGGGCTCAACACAATTGTAAATGGGAAAAATTACTCAAATACTTGGGGTTAAGATCAAACCACTCCTGACAGCGATTCCCTTTTCTGCAAATATAAGAGCAAAGCAAGAAAATCTTGAGATGTTAGAGCTCTGGAAAGGGTTACTTTTGGCAGCCCTAGAGACAGGGATTTAAGGTCCTGGTGGTTATGGCAGCACCAAGACTTCATAAAATAAGTTGACAGGTTCTACTATTATTCTCTGAGGTTTCTTTCTGCTTTATCTTTGTTCAGTTGGTTACATTTGGTGAATGTATTTAAATAATAACATAACACTGTTAAAGAGGGAAAATAACCTAGGAACTCTGACATCATTGAAATAGGGATACAAGCAGTTGTACCTCTTTTGAAAGCAATTTGGTTATAAGTATCAAGAGAATGAATAATGTTCCAAATGATTCCATTTATAAGATATATATTAAGTGAATAAAACTGTGGGTGAAGAATTATATACAAAAGAGGTGTTCACCTTTCACTGATGACCACTGAAACAGAATATATAACTCTGAAAGATAGCTTTTATTACTGTTGACAATAATTCTGCCAATGACTTCTGTCCATTATTGAATATAGTTAATTAAATTATGGAATTTCCATGTAATTAAATATTAGCTTTCATTTCTATTTAATTATTTGAATCGTTTTCCAGGATATGTGAAATACTCATTGTATAATATTGACTGGGAATAAAAGCAGAGGATAAGTAAATATATATTGACAGAAACAAGATAGAAAATTACACCCAAATTTTCATAATAACTTTTCAATTAGAAGAAACAAAAGATTGAGAGAGAAAGAGAGAGGAAAGGAAGGCAACAAGGACAAGAAGAAAGGGAGACTAAGAAATTTTTAAAATATATTAGTAAGGGAAAGTGAATATTCATACCAGATATTAAGATGTAAGATTATAGTAATTTAAATGGCATTTTACTAAAAATAGACAAACAGCTCACTGAAACAGAACAGACAATTCAGACATAGTGCTTATATTATCCCATAATTTATAATAATGTATCTTTAACAAGACTTGACAAATCAAAAGAGAATGGAAGACTATTCAGTAGAGAACTGGTAAAGAATCTGGAAATAATTTTAAATACACTACCACCACGTAACTTTATATTAAAAAAAAGCTAATAATGAATTAAAACGTTACATATAAAAGTTTCAAACTACAGAACAATTTCAACAAAATAAAACTCAAATTCTTGAGCAGGGGAACTCTTTCTAAATTTAGTGTAGCAATAGAAGAAATTATAAAGAATAAAACCACTAGCTTTTGCTATAAAACAATTTTAAACTTCAATAAGTAAAAAAGAATAATGTTATAATCAAAATTAGAAAGCAAAATACAGACTAAATAAAATAAAAATAAATATAATTTTTAAATAGAGAAAAAGCAAGACATAGCTGCTGAGTAGCAGACTTTTAAAGACAGCAGTAGGCTCAGACTTCCACTGTTGTCTGCTTTTGTATTTTTAAATAATGCCCACTCTGGAGAACAGTATGGAGTTTCCCTAAAAAACTAAAAATAGGCTTACCATTTGATCCTTCAATCCCACTCCTGGGAATATATCCATAAGGAACTCTAATTCAAAAAGGTACGTGCACCCCAACGTTCATAGCAGCATTTATTTACAATAGCCAAGACATGAAAGCAACCAAAATGCCTATTGACAGATGACTGTATAGACAAGTGCTGATGTACGCGCGTGCCGCAGCACACACACAATGAAGTATTACTCAGCCATGAAAAATAATGAAATATTGCCATTTGCAGCAACATGGATGACCTAGAGATTATCACATTAAGGGATGTAAGTCAGACAGAGA